TTCATCTTTCTCCCTCCTCATTCTTTCAAGCCTTTCAAGATAGTTTATTTTGCGCGATAATGTCTTGCTAGGTTTTCGGATACTGTGTCACCTAAGCTTTCAGAAGTTTTGTGCTATTTTTGCAATATAACTCTCTCCTTTAATACTGAGCTAGATTCCTATGTTCAAATTTGAAACAAATATCCTATATTAATGATTTTGGGAAGCATGTATTAAAAGGGATGGAAAATGATAAAGCTGTTGCCGTTCATCATTGCCTGAGGGTTGCTCCATGCACTCGGCTTTATCAAATATCGTTAGAGATGATAGAGTGCATATGTGTATGAAATGATTCGTGGTGGTCTGCCGATAGATCCAGTCAGTGCTGCTATCTTTCAAGAGAGGTCTGGTACCAATTTGCCAACCCCGGAGTGATGGGAAGCTTGGTGGCCCAGGGGTGCAGGATAGAACTTATGTGTATTGCAAGACGCCTTTAGGCATTGTGCTAAATGCGCCTTTTTGGAAGGGATACGTAGGTTAAAAAATCATGTCATTTTGGAACTCAATTGAGAAACTGCTTGAACAATGGCAGAGTGCGGCCGGCGAGCATGCGAGTGATTCTGGGAGAAGCTGTGCACAAGGTGAGCATGCGTGAATGTCGATCACATTAGCAGATGTACTTCCTGTTTATTTAGGAAGGGGGACGAATGCTCGTAGGTCTCGCTGTCCAGATAACAGATACTTTCCATGTGTGATGGTAAATAAGGAAACGGAACAGTGAGAATTTTCTGGAGTATCTATGTGATCCGTGAGTATGGGGGTCCTCTAATATCTATGCCCTGTAACGGACGAGCGCCATCCAGCGTGGCTCTCTGAACGGAACACGAACAATTTTTCACCAGTTGCTGACTTTCTTGCTTTTTTTTGACTGTAAAAAATGAAATACAACCACAACGTTGCTGAGATATTTGCAAAACTCTGGAGCGCAGGTGTCAATGGTGGGGAACGAAAGCGCTATGGTCCTTTCCGGGTAGTAACGCGTTCACCACCACACCATGCGAGTCCTTTGTTTTGCCTGTCTCTCAGCTATTTCTATCGATCTTTGCCTACATCTTATGAAATAGCTGAGAGGCAGGCAAAACAAAGGACCCGCTTGGTGTGGTGGTGAACGCGTTACTACCCGGAAAGGACCATAGCGCTTTCGTTCCCCACCATTGACACCTGCGCTCCAGAGTTTTGCAAATATCTCAGCAACGTTGTGGTTGTATTTCGCTTAGTACCCTGCGGCGGAATTATAGTAGGCAGAAAATAAAAGGTATAACATTGTGAAAAATGATTTTTAATAACTAGAGTGCGTCAATGAAATTTCCACCACCAATTTCAATGTTAGACTGGGAACAGTAACCGAAAATGAATACAGGATGGGGAACTTTTGAATGCGAGGACGAAATGAGAATGGAAATCGTCTTGTAGGACTCCTGTCCTCAGCAGTTGGCTCCCATAGGAATTCATTTTTTGAGAAAGAAGTAACTGTTGATTGGCATGGTAGTTTCCTAACGGCACGTTTCATGCGGAGATCAATCACATTCTCACGAACAGAAAATGGGGCCTCTTTAACACCTTAGGTGTACCTAGATTATGTAGTGGGTCTGATCACCACCCTTTCCCTGCGATGGTTCGGTTCAGGCAGAACCTGGAAAGGAGTGCTTGTCGTCGTCCAAGAAAGACGGAACAAGTCGTCTATGACAAGGATATTCTGAATAAAATCCCCTACATCTTATGAGTGGCAGCTAAGGGACGACGCGTTCGAGGACTACAAGCTGCTTGTCCAAGAACTTTAAACTTGTGCCGAACTCGCTTCAGTTCCTCAAATGAAGTCCAGACCGTATTTCCACCACAGAGGAATTTCTCTAAAAGTGAAAGGAGCTGAAGCTTGATTGTGCTATAATGCATTTAACGCGACTGGTAAGAAATGTCATCTGCCGAAAATCTTCGCAGTGGATTTATATCGGTATAGGCAAAAAAATTTATTGGACGCACCTCGAGAACGATCTAGGCTGAAGAAGTGTCGTCGGGATCTTTGCGACTGTAATGTTTCCCTATCCGCACTGATGTACGATTATGAGACTATTATTACAACTTAGCACGATACGGGATTGAATACAAGAAAGCTCTATGCCAGTATTTTCAACTTCATAGTCCTGTCTCAAACCCCGAAATACCCGCTGGTGGAAAACCACCCGGGATTTAGCCCTCTGAAGTTCAAGTTGCGATAGAACGAAGAGTTATGAGAAGAGCTGCAGGTCCTGGTTCCGATAACGTCGCCGCCGATTTCCTTGTAGCTGGAGGCCACAAATTACATGTACTTCTTGCAACCCAAATAACAAAACATAAAGAAGAAACCCCAGATCAGTGCAGAATATCGGTTGCGGTCTTCTTATGCGAGAAGGGTAACCGAATGGATGTTCGTAACTACGCTTACACCTGATTGTCGAGTGTACTCTACAAGCTGTTCACGAAGATTATCCTTTTGCGCATGTCGAAGACTTCGGATGAGACATAACTAGTTGAGCAAGCTGCGTTCCGACAAGAATTCTGTTGCATGGACTACATCGAAACCGTATCACGAGTTATAGAAGTCTGTAGGAATACCGTCTACCCTTTGTCCTAACCTTTAAATACTGACAGAAAGCGTTTGGTAGCGTCGAAACGAATGCAATTTTATCAACGCTCGTCAACCAATGGGTGGACCCACCCTATGTAAGAACACTAGCTGACTTTTGTTGGAATTGTAACAAAAGCATACGGCTTTTTCCTCGACTATTTACCATATCCATGGAGAAAGAGGTTTGAGAAGGGGACATGATCTCGCTGAAGTTGTTTGTTACCGCACTGTATTGAATAATGAAGTTACTCGATTGGGACAAGAAGGTGGTAGGACGATTGGTATACACGTTGATGGAAAATATCTATCATATCCTCGTGTCGCTGTCGCGCATCGTCGTCTTTTCGAGGAGTACCAAAGAAGCAGGGAAGATACTTAGTGAATTCAACGAAGTTGTAAAAGAGATTGGACTGTGCATAAATAGAACGAAGATCCAGTTCATGAAGAATTCACGGTGCGAGACTGAAAAAATCGAATTGAATTGTCCTCTGATTACAGAAAACATTCGTACGTGTGCTTTGGACGTTCGGTGAACATGGAAAAAAACATGAGGGAGGAATTAGACAGCACGAGGAAAGCAACTTTTGCCGCATTCGGATCACTTACGAAGGCCGCCCATCAACTAACGGGCCCAAAACTCTGCGTTCACCTTTTCGATTAAAAAATCCTCCCTAGGCTATATTACGCAGCAGAGATGTGTCAACAATACTCCACACTACTCACCTAGCGTTTGGACGATCTCTTCTAAGATTTAACTGACGCTCACAACGTCTAGTCGGGATGCGCAGAATATCTCCGAAAGCTAAGATAAGCTACCTCATCTTCGGGGTCCAAGAGGATAAACATGGATAGCGAAACAAAGGTGGTCCGGTCACATAATAAGAAGAACAAATAACACCTGGCTAAATTTTGTCTTCTACATGTTTCCGTTCTGTCATTACAACGACGTGATTTGATGGTCGTCAGTTGTTCATATTGTCCTAAACTTCTTTTCCGTGCTGCTTATTATTTACTAAAGTTTAGACGGAAATTGCTCAGCTGTGAAATTCGTCACCTATTATTCCTGTGCATCGTCTGTGATATGAACACAGGCCTAATTTTCTGGACAAGCATTTCCAGGTATGCTTATTATCGTAAAAGTTATACTACCCGTATAAAAAAATTATGTAGCTTAGTAGCTCACTTCATGTTACCTCGTATTCGGTAAAGGAAAACGGGTTACGATTCTTTTTTTCATTGTTGTTGTTGCTGTTGCTGCCTTTGATCCAGTCTCCCTTAGTCTGCACATAGAATACGGTATTCTGGAGACATAATTTGAAGACTTTCATAGCGTTCTCTTTAGAAAAACTCCCGAACACTCTTCAGTGCGCTTCTGTAAGAGTTTCTTTTTATAGATATTACAGTACATTAATGATGAAAGTTAACGTAACGTTTTTGATTTTCCGTTTAAACAGACCGTGACACATGTGAGGGTCTGTTGCCTCACAGCACAGCACGTGAGTCAGCGCCTTTTGTCGTCCACGTGATATCCTGAAAGCGCAAGCAAATATAAGCACTTCTGACATTATCGCCAGTTTAAACAAAGCTGCGCAGTAGTGGTTTTTTTTTCAATGCAATCGAAAAAAAATACATGGAAGAAAAGTCACTTCTCTGTTTCTGTTGTGTAATCCATTTCTATGATTTTAGCCGGCTGAGTTTGGTGAACTTGAATCCGGTTGGCGAGTTCTGCCGAAGCCAGCACCATTGACTAGTTATAGATAAATTCATATTCTGCCTTTCCACTCTCGCGGACTGCGTATATCTTCAGCCTCCTTGATCTACCTGAGATTTTATGTAAGTCCATTTTACAAGTTAGTTCTCGCATTCTGAAAAGTTTTATCATTGAGGGAGAAACCGTAGCCAAAACTGATATCTGTTTTAATATTTTTTGTTCAATCGATAGACATACGAGGTTAGCTCTCTTATGGCTAAGCTCGTAACTGTTCTAAATTTCTTTGGAGGGTTATACGTCTGTAAAGAGAGTAAGGTATTGTATTGTTACAGTAGCTTTGAATTCTCAAATTTTCCTCAAGTTGATGCATAATGACGTATATGTCTTCTTTCGTTAATGAGTCCACATGAATGCTTTAATGGGAAAATTGGACAATGACTATCGGTATGTTGTAGATGACTTCAAAAGAGATGAACTGAATGATTTTAAGAAAAATGATTTTATGACAATAATTAATTCCGTACCTGCACTTTTTTTATTTGGTGTCGTTTCATTGGTATTTAACATTACATTATTCTTTCATTGATTATCGCTGTGTAGTTGAAGGCATTGTCGTTTTCAGCTGTTTTTTATTTCTTAATTTGCATGGGTACTGCAACCACTCAGAAGAAGATTATGGTGTCTGGTGGTGGGGCCGCGTATTTCAAACCTGCACCATCAGAGATTTTGTACGGACGCATGCGTTTTCTGATTACCGACAGACCGAACGATAGCTCCATCAATTCATTCATTGAGGTTAGTGCCGATTTTGACTAAGTTGGTTACAGATCTATGGTCGTATGAACGACGATACCTAACTTTCATTGATAACCGTGTTTGATAGATGGCCAGTTTTCGTTGATGAATGACGAATTGTTCTTGCTGCGCACTCTGTGAATTGAATTCAATTCATGCCTGCTGTATTGTGTTCCAAGAAATGAATTTGGTCCTTTTGTCTACATTATTTTATCTATTTTGTTCCTATCTCTGTTTTTAGAATTCTTTTTTCAAATATCATTTCGTGTTATTCTATGTACTTTCCTATGTTTTCGCAGTGCTTCTAACTTTTACGTCTGCTGAAAAAAAAACTAGCAATTAATGCGTCCACATTACTATCAACTTTTGGTAATCGGTCTTGCAGCAGATATGGAACACATTTCAGCATTTATTCGCCAATTCCATATTATCGCTATGAATCATCATAGTGATTGGAAAGAGAATAACAACGAATTTTTACTGGTTGACATCGATTTTTTATGCCTGAGTCATGCCAGCAGAAGACAAATCGAATTTTGTTTCTGATTAGGAGAGTTTACACCGGGAGCGAATCTATACTGGTGTTACTAGATTCAATTCAACTATTCCTATTCTCTGATCTAAGTATTATTTTATAGGAGCTTAGGGTGATGGCATATTTCCTCCATTGTTACTAGATTCACTTAAAATGGGGCTACTTTTTAACCCAAACCTTATGTATAGCGAGTTTAGTGTTATATCGTGTCTTCTTTAATACCACTCAATTTGTCTGGCATAGACGTCAAGGGTTGGCAAAGAATTTGAGGATGCTAAGGACGCAGAGGAGTCTGTTATGCCAACAGAAAAGTTGGAAAGAAGTAAATTGGATGATAAAAACAAAGGTAGTGGCCATGAAATCATTGAGTTAGTGGTGAAACAGTGTGATACCTGACTACCTTAGGATGTTCGATGCTAGTAATTTTAAGTGCTTGGATAGAACTGGTTGTATGCATGGAATTTCCATATTTGTATGAACTATCATTGACGTATGTTTGCGATGTGGTCGTAGATAAAACGAGCATATGTGGCCAAGATAACGAACAGTTATATGAAGTGATAGCTAATGAAGAAATGAATTGATTATTCGGTTTGCCCGTACAGATGGGAATCGTCGGAGTATAGTTGTGTAATGTAGTCTTGTATTGACATAATCCAATTTTTTAAAGTAGTGAGAAAAGACCTCTTTTTTGACCAACACTGGAGCCTATGATGGGTGAATGGACAAGAGATATTGTACAAGGCCAGTACAATCATCGAACTTATCGGGAAAACATTACAGCCACATGCACAGGCTCGCGAGAAACGTATGAGTTGACGAGTCAGTCCACTACATCGCTTTGAGAGGGACTTCGTTTCCGCCAGAATATCCCACTTATAAGATAAAAATACGGTATCAAGTTATTCAAGTTGTCGACTTATCCCGATAAGGAGGAAATAGTGAACGCGGTTTAGTTGATTCGGTGAAGATGAAATAGTTAACTGAATGAGAGGAATCACTTGATCTATTTTAAGTGTCAGCATATTATCTCTATTTCTGATATTCTGTTTGGAATGGTAACAACATGGTCGGCTAAATGAGGATTAGAAAGGAATCTTGCATCAACACGTATCCCTTTCTCACCCTCACACCACATTTTTGCTGGCAGCGGTTTGTAATTCTCGAGAGTGGTTGTTGTCTATGCAGCTGTTTAAATTCCATATGGAATCTAGCCTCCTTTATATGTTCTGTTTTATCTAGGTTAATATAATTCTTTTAAACCTTGATTTCTGAAGATTTTGTGAGTAGCTCTCGAGACTCTTGAAAAAGCAGCAAAAAGCAGGGAAGAGGCTAGATGAGTATAAAATTTGAAGTATGACTTCGTATCCATTCGTTATACCGATTACTTTAACTTCTCCAGTGGTCGTTTACAAATTGTTATTCGATGTTGTCGTACTGTAGAATTGGTTCCGTTTGGTCATTAATCTAGGTCGCGTACGTTGCTGCTTTCAGTGCATTTTTTATGCTGAGGAAAACTTCCTTTTCAGCTGTAATTGTTTCGCTGCGATCTAAGAGATTATACTGTATGGTACCATCAGCCAGCCACCAAGTAATGAACATACTTTTGTTTAATGTAAAGTTAGCGTTAGAAAGTGTTTTGGCGCTCTGTCTTCGTCCACCCCTGTTCAGAATGTCGTCAGTTGTCATCCATTTGTAGTCAGTCATACATGGGAGTGCGATCAGGGAACAAGGTTTTATGCTACGTAAAGGAAAGGGGAACACTATGCTTGACAAGCAACCCTTTTCTTTTCCTATTCTATTCATATAGCAGCTAATTTTAGTGTTTTTTTTTGGACTTTCTAATTCGCTTAGCGTATACGAAAATGGTTGTCTTACGTTAACGTCTTCCACAAGCTGTCGAATTGTTATACAAGGATCTGACTAAGTAATTAAACTTCTTCATGACTTGGACCCTTAACCAACCAACATCTTCAGTTCTTCAACCTTTTTAGCCAAACCTTTAAATGTAATGATGTTGCATGTGGTCGTTAAAAATTCTACGGTCAAATGCAACGTTGCTCTTTGGAGGATTTTCCGCCTCCTTGCATCGAGTCATGGGTTTATAAATATTCGGAAGGAAGCGTGAATTTTTAGCTTCCTCATATTTCATTCCAGTGAGCCATATTCTACACGAAATGAAGACAAAATCACTGTTCTAGATTTGTCGGACAGCGTATGCGCTTTTATATATATCTTATTCTTCTTGTAAAAAAGTTGTTTCTTCCAGGAGCTCGATAAACATTCTGCTCGGGCTGTAGTGCGAGTTTGTGAACCAACATACGCTACAAAGCCTCTTCGTGATCATGGTATCGACGTACTCGATTGGGAGTTTTCCGATGGTTCCCCTCCTCCGCCTGAAGTTTGCTCTTTGCTCTTCTTTGTATCTTCTGCGTATGTTTGGCATCATTTTTTGTTGCCAATATATATTTTTTTAGGTGATTCGTGACTGGCTGCAATTAGTACGTGAATCGTTTCGTGACCATCCGGAACAATGTATTGCTGTGCACTGCGTTGCAGGCCTTGGACGAGCTCCCGTCCTTGTTGCACTTGCGTTAATCGAAGCTGGTATGAAGTACGAGGATGCTGTTGAACTAATTCGAAGGTATGTTTTCACAGAAGTAGAGCGGTCATTTAATTTTACAGGAGTAAAGAATCATATTTATGGAAAGTGCGGTATATCATAAAGGCGCATGTGGCGCAGTGGTCGTGGGCGCCCTGTAACACACACGTGGAACCGACCCATGCACCCATTGCCCACCAAACCTTCTAGCCTCCCGGGATCGGCAAATTGGTATTTGTCTGGGAGGATAGCTGCATTGGCTCGATACATCGGTAGGCCATCGCGAGTCATTGTAAAGGTCAGATATGCATTCAATCAGTTACCTCTACGGGATTGATGAAGCCGAATATAAGGCGGATACCTTAGGGATTTATCAACGCTGATCGATTTATTATGTTTTAGTTATGGTATGGTATACCGTTTTCCTTCCAAATGCTTTTATTGTTTTTTAAACACTTATTATTGCTTTCACAATGGTTAAAGAAATAACGAACAGTTTTGTTTCATGAGTTAATTTTGTTTATTCCAGGCAACGACGAGGCGCGCTGAACCAAAAACAGCTCAATTTTCTCGAGAAGTATAAACCAACTGGCGAACTTCGTAAATTACGATACTCTGTTAATGGAAAGCAAAAGTCATGCGTTATCACGTAAATCCTCTACTGCAGTGTTCACAATAGACGGATGCGTAATATTTTGTCGTTTCTATTATTTCTATCTACCACTAACAGAGTTGATTTTCGTTGTGTTGTATTGACTCCAGTGTTACTAACAATCTAACTAATTATTTAGGTATCCTATTATTGGTATTAATATCATTGCTAGTCTCTGTTCTTATCATGTTTAATTGCTGACGATTTCTGCAATCCAAGAGCTGTTTCGCTACTTTGTTACACTCACATCAATCCCGGTTGATCTATATCCTCTTTGCATTACGCAGGTAGCATTCATAAATTTTCCTATTCTACTGTGCCATTTCCATATTTGATTCCATCACCACACCGTATACTACGATATCTGTTTTCTGCGGAAACGTTCTATACGGTTCATGCGTATGGTTTCTCCTTTTTCTGTGTTATCATCCTTGGCATTTCCTCAAGAAAATCATTGCACTTGTCCTCTTTCTTTTTGTTTTATATTCTACATTATGTTTTCAGTTCTTCTGTTTGCGGGAATTGTCTCCAGTCTCATTTCATTTTATATTTTTACGTTAACGTTTGGATTTAACCAGATTATTTTCCAGACTTTTGTTCATTGTTTAATACTATCATTGTAACTTTCCTCATCTTTCACGGATATGAAGTTTCATGTAATGGTTAGTTCGTTTTTTCTCCTTATGTTTTCAGTAGGCGTTGCAGAAGTCACATGTGACACTTTGTCAGTTTGTTTTGTTCTTTTACAAAAACCATGGCCGTGCATCACTGAGCATAGTTTTCTTTCTGGAACTCTGAGCACACGCTGCTAGGATATTCTCAGCATTTGACCAGGCACTAGACAGGCTGCATCAGCATGGATCAAAAGGAACTTTGTTTCTTCACGAGTAGTATTTCTGCAGGAAAGCAGAAGCTACGCGTTTTATCCACCGAAGTGATCGAGAAAAATGGAGACTGCGGATACACTTTGTAAAAATGATAAGCTGATCTTGCAGAAATGGTGTCTGAATTCAGCTTGTCTTTGTCAATGCCTCAGATTTCTCAATATTGTCTCAATTTTGGTTAGGCCGAAAACTTGTTTGACTCCTTTTGCCCGTGTGGACAATATGGTGACCACAGTGAACTGGAGAAAAGGACGGTTGGACACTGTAGTGTCCATATTGAGTTTAGTGTGTTTCAGGCTTTTCTTTTTTGCCGTATTATTTATATCCATTCGATAACTTGTCGAAATCAAATCAAAATGCCAACGGTACACTTAATATTGTACAAAGAAATGATTAACAAAAACTTTTTTCGCAAATGATCATTGATAGGTAATCTGACTAAAAATTAACTGCTCTTCTATTCTAATCGCTATTGCCAAAGTATGAAATGTGCGGATATAAAAAACACTGAAATGGACTCAACATAAAGGAGAAAAAGGATAGAGCTCTCGGCGTTGATCCATCCCTGAGAGATGATGCATTCGACTTTACTAAGCATCGTTGGAGGTGATCGAATGCATAACTGGCCTTTACGATGACTCATGATGGCTTAGTGATGGATCGAGCCAGTGTTGATATCCTCCCAGAAAAGTATGGTACCAATTTTCCGACCCCTTAGGTGCGGAGGGCTTGATGGGTCTGGCGCGCCGGGATCGATCCCATGTGTATTGCAGGGTACCTCTACCACTTCGTCATACACGCCCCTACGTTTCTATGAGGTTGGCAATTAAAAATTCGGCTCATTATTTCGAAGCCCTTTGTTTGCTTCTTCGTGCTACTATCTTGTTGTCATCTATACCGCCATTTTTAGTAGCATTTTTAAAGCATGAATTGTTGATAATTCTAATTCTATTCTTATGACACCATCCAGTACCTCATGGATGGTGTTTTCGCATCTATAAAAGTCGTGGAGTTTTGGAGATTTTAACTGCTAAAAATTTTCAGAATGGAACAAATCAGTGGTGGCGGGGAAGTACTGAGAAAAACTTAATTACTTGATACTTGAATGGCCCGTCCTCACTGGTTGTGCGGGCCCCAGCATAATCTCCCTTTTCCGGAGATTTGCTGGTTAAACCATTATGGTTCCCTGGAGTCCCGAGGTCAGCTTGGCCAAAGTCTGCTCCAGGTCTTCACCACCACGGGCAGTCGCAGCCCTTGTGGATCAAAGGGAGATTTGCCACCATGCGACGTTGATACCAGGACGGTGATGGATCCTGGTATTGGTTTATTCTCAGCTAGGTTTCCTTATGGAAACGCCGGACTTCTTTTTAGCTTGGGAGACCCTACGGGATGAATCCCTCGCTGTACATCACAGCCCGATAGCCAGGAAAACCTCCCACCCACGATAAGGCGGTAAACCGTTGGGAGGCTGAGAAAAAGTGTAATTAATATCTCTTAAACATTGTGTAAATGCACGAGGAAACAACAAATGCTCACTTTCTAACTATGCTGGGAATGGCATTTTTACAAAATCTGACTTTTTTTCCTCGTAAGCTTTTCCTATCAATGAAACTTCCAAGTTAGCAGAATATAAGCAATATTTGATTCTAGCTCTATCTCATAGAAAATCGCGGATTGTAAAGCCTCGCTTTTCCTGAGCTTCACATCTGTCTTCGATCAAGATGTTTATGTAATCTTTTTATTAGGGATCAGAAAGCTGTTTTTACGTCATTCATAATGTTGATAAAAAACTGAGATGGGAAGTATGAAGTCAAAGAGTTGTAAAACTAACCAAGAACTTAAGTCAAGTTTCTAAGCCAGAGTTTTGATAAAGGTTTTCGCTTCAATCGTAGCTTTGCTTATCATAGTTCGACCACATGGTTTTTGAAACTGTGAGCTGCACTATGTGATGTTTGTCGTGGTCAGTTATGTTGTGTGAGTATTTAAGTAGGCGTCTGAGCATGAAAAATTAGAAATAACTGCTTGGAAGACTTCTCGTAGTCTGTATTTCGATCCATATAATAAAATTAATGGGTAATATTTTTATTGAAACAACTTGTAGTAGGAAGAACGAGGAAAAATCAAGTGGAATTTTGAGATTTTCCAAGTTGTCAGGAATAGTGCTGTAGAGTATAAGCTTGTTAATGCTCAATCAGATGTTCATGTTGAGCTAATGTTGATTACACAGAGACGGAGGTCGTTCGAACGAATGACTTCGGTCCACTCGCATTTTGTTCAAGAAGTGGAATGTTATATTTTTAGAAACAAATTCCACCACTCATAGGAAGAGCAGCACCACAATACCTGGGAACCCCGATTATTTCTATCATTTTAAACGAAAAATTATTCCAACAAAACCAAGAAAACAAAGAGAGCAAGGAAGTGATCATGGTGTATTTCTTGAATGTAACAACCAGTTATAAATCTTTCTAAATGAGCACAATATTCCCATGACATTCCGAATCTTGTGGAGTCCATAATAGAACAGTTCTACCACAATCTGTTGAAAAGCACCTTGGATTTTCTCTTTGAGGTTCGAATTACCACTGCAGAGTAACGTAATTCGACCATAATAGAATTATTCCTAATCTACATCTCTTCAAATTTTCCGGCCTACAAGAGGTTAATGAAGTAGTTTCATTCGGCTGACATTTCGACGTCTTCATCTTTATCTGAGCCAATGATCCGAGTCGGCGGTCCACAGCTGTTCGTCTTCTCGATGTGGCGTTTTCGTCTTCGCATCTACCTGGATCTTCCTCAGTAGTCATCTTTTGAATGAGGCATACTCATACGGCGATGCTCTTTTATACAGGGTGGTTGTACTTAGTATGACTATCCGTTCATAATAAATTGTTTCTCAGCGGAAAATCCACTCTGCAGCACTGAGCATTGTGTTACCCAGCACATGGAGAGTAGCAAAACAATAATTTGGAAGAGCGCAAGGGTGTCGAAATGTTAGCCGAATAAAGCTATTGTTATCAATCTCATGTAAGCTCAGAAAATTGAAAACGTTGATTATTTTATTACCAAGCTTAAATCACGGTCGCTTTCAAATTATTCCTAATGTAAATTCACTTGTAAGTCAGAACGATCGTCTACACTTACTTTTCGTAATCCTCCATTGTAACATGTCTTAAATAAAATGTTATATGGAACGTATAAAAAGAAAATGACCAATTATCGTGAACACATGCCTGATTTGTCCAATGAAGGTGTTTTCTAAATTCTTCGTGATTATCCTATTTTATGAGTGGCTTTGAATGAAGCCCACTAATTGAGAAATTGACATTTGTGTGGGAAGCCACTTCAAGCAAGAAGCCTATTCGATGGCAGCAGAAATTTATCAGGGTTATCATAATCTTCTCTAGAAGTTTTGCGGATGCAAATGCATTGCCCAGCGTGCTTAACAAAGCAACAAAAAAAAACAACTAACAAATTGCTATAAAGGCCATTCAATGAGAAGTGCATTTTCTAATGAGAAATAAAGCGAGATGGGAACATCTTAAGCGTTGATGCTGGTCAATCAGTGCGGTGACATTTCCATGATTCAAGTATTTGTTCCAATCGTTTTAAGCTGTGAAATGCAGATAGTTGACGAGAGTTATGGACACGTCAACCTATCGCGTAGGTGGTCGTCCGAGAGAACGCTGGCTTTTCTTAGAATACACTCTATACTATTGATGAGTATCCTTCTGGATTTCGTAGATGGAAGAGTTTCCGATTACCTTAAGTGCGCATTTCCGTCAGACATTTTACACAGTAGTTATTTTTTAGGAGTCTTCTTTCAAGTGTTCTATAAGTGGTCCAAAGAGTTTTGCACATGTTTGAAGTGTCAACCCAAGCCATTGCAGCATAGTTTATGACTGCTGAATCAAAGAGGCGAGCGAAGAGTGTTCGGTCTAGTGGGCGGTGGCTGCTCCGAGAGGCTGAAATGCGCTCCACAATGCTCTTCTTCTTGTGCGTCATTCCTCCTTTATGTTGTTCCTTAGATCTATTCAACGCCAAAGGTAAAGGCACGTGGTAGCTTCTGTAATCATGGGAAAAATCCAGTTCGATTCGCTCACCTCCTGCCGTAGTT